CCAAATGTTCACATTGGATTTCAATCCGAGCCTATAAGTATCAAATAGGCGGATTTACTCCAAGTTGGTGATTAATGTCTGAGAAAATTAAAAAGTCGAATCTTCATATTTCGGCACCGTCGTGGGAGCGAGTGCTGGGTTCCTACGGAATCGGGGACTACAACGTCAACGGCCTTATCCTTCTGCGAACCTTCACTGAATACCGCCTCCTCCTCACCAACACTTCCTTACACATTCCGGGACAGGGAGAAAGGAACATGGGTACACCCTCGCTCGCGGAGCTAACCCCCGCTGGACTACATTCTCGTCCGGAGGCGAGACTACCGTGACGAGTTGGTGACTGAAAGGATGTGCGATGCCGACGGCTGAACGGATCCCCGTCTTGTCATCTCCAAGATGAGGTGTCTGCCACGAAGCTTCTCCTCTCGCACGTATTTGTACGCGTGTACCTGTAGCTTAACGTGGAGCGCTGAAGACAACTCTGACTTAAGAAGAGCTGAACAAGGTAGTTAGACAGGCATCACTCTCATAAGGCAAGGAGAAGAGAGAGAGATAAACTGGTACAAGGTGTATACTAGGGAAAAGAAGATCGGCATATAGAAAAGTGGTAAATGACACAAAGGGAGAAGAGTTATAACGAGGGGATGATCCGTCTGGATTGGGATTTGATGCCAACATGTCCGCTAGACAACCAGTGGTGATCACAGTGCTGGGGGCAAATGCAGGGGAGGGCCGTGGAAGGAGCTGACGTGGAGAGGGGTAAGCGTTACGTTAACGGTGAGACTGCGGGAAAGGGGGAGGCGGTGGTTATGCAGGGACAGGGCGCCGGTGATTTTCACCGACACACTGATACGCCATCTCCATTCTGGATCCTCACAAAGTGTTCACGTCATTCAAAAAACAAAATCGACTTCGTTTGGCGTCACCAGCGATAGCCTGGTCCTCGGCCAATCACAGTTATCCGAACCGGCCAATCACTTTCAAGGTCGACGCAGACGTCCTTGTCCAAAGCACTTGCGACTCTTGTTTCCACGGCGTCGGACCTGCGTCCCTTGTCCGACTGCCAACTTGTTCCTACAGTCTGCCCT